GAGGGCTGGGGCTGTGCTCTGGTCTGCTTCAGTCTGCTCTCAGCAGAAATTCCCTCCCTCCTGGTCCAGTCCTCAGCCGGATGGAGCCTGTGTTTCCTCCGCTCCTTGTGTGATCTGTGGTGGCGGCGCTGGTGGTGGTGCGGGTGGTGGCGCCGGTGCCGGCGAATCCGGTGTGACCTTCGGGCTGCCGGGAAGGGAGGGGGCAGAGGCAGGGCGGTGAGGAGCCGGGTGGGGCGGGGGGCAGCAGGCGGCGGGTAAACCGCGAGGCTGTGAGGCTGCGTGAGCAGGCGGAGGCCGGGGAGCACGCAGGGAGGGGGGTGTTACGGTCTGTGCATCACACTCCGGGGGCCTGTGGCCCCAGCTCCGCAGGGGGGGAGGGGCGGGAAGGAGGGGGGCGGCTAAGATGTGGAGACTGCGGCTGGAAGCCAGCCCAGCAGACACATCCAAGGGATTCTTATTTCCAGTTAACCAGGAAAGAAGCTGGAGGTGGAGGTGGCTCAGGTGGTAGAGCACCAGAGCAATGGTCTCCAGTGGAAAAGCCAGCGTAGCAAGGCCCTGAGTTCCAGCCCCAGGACTGGCGCCAACAAACAGGAAGAAGGAAGGAAGGAAGGGAGAGAGGGGGTGGAGGGCAAAAACAGATCCTGCCAGGTGCTGGTGGCTCCCGCCTGGCACCCCAGCTACTCAGGAGGCTGAGATCTGAGGATCGCGGTTCAAAGCCAGCCTGGGCAGGAAAGTCTGTGAGGCTCTGATGTCCAATAAACCACTCAGAAAACCAGAAGTGGCGCTGTGGCTCAAGTGGTAGAGCGCTCGCCTTGAGCTGAAGAGCTGAGGGACAGCGCCCAGGCCCAGAGTTCAGGCCCCACGACCAACAAAAAACAACAACAAAAGCAGAGGTCCTCGCGCCTTGCCGGCCGTGTGGGTCTCCTGGTGGTGTGGCAGGGTGTTGGGGGGGCTGTGGGGGGACTCACGTCTGACGCAGAGGATGCGCGGCGGGTCCCAGGTGCCCGAGGCCCGGCAGCGGATGGCGTCCGCGCGCTGCTGGGAGAAGCCCTCGTGGCACTGGTAGCGGACGGTGGCGTGGACGCTGTACTTGGCCTTGCGCGCGCCGACCACAGAGGCGTTCTCCAGGACCGGAGGGGGGCCGCACAGCACTGGGGGCACAGTACCGTCAGGAGCGGCCGGGCGGCGCCCGAGGACCCCTGCCTGAGGCTGGCCTCGAACTCACGACCCTCCCGCCTCAGCTCGCCAGGGCTGGGATCACAGCGTGGACCGCCATGCCAGGCTCAGCTTCCTTTCCTCTCTCCTGCCCTCCCTCCCCCCCCCCATGCCAGGCTTTGACTCGGACTTCACTCCCTCACTTGCGCCTTTTTGAAGAGAGACAGACTTTCCAGTCCGGGGCTGGCTTTGAACTCTGACCCCA